GTGAAACTCCGACGAAACAGTTTGTCATAGACCCTCGTTTGTTGTCCTCTTCTCTCTCTCTGCCTACGGTTTACCGGGCAGTTCTGTTTATGACGATATATATATATATAACGTCACAAACAAATATACATATATATCGTCACAAACAGGATTCCCCGTCCAAAGAAAAAGATTTTTCAGACGGGGGCCGAACGCCGCCAGGTTCGGAGGCCGTACGGAACCCCGAACGCCCGTACGCACGACCGTCTGCCCGGGGACCTCCTTACGTACGGAATGGTGAATACATATATATATATATACTGTTGAGGGTTCAGCCTCCTCATGAGTCGGTGAAACTCCGACGAACCAGTTTGTCACAGCCCCTCGTTTGTTGTCCTCTTCTCTCTCTCTGCCTACGGTTTACCGGGCAGTTCTGTTTGTGACGATATATATATATATATATATATATATATATATATATTAGGGTTACCAGCCCGTACGTACTAAGGTCCCAAGGCAGACCTCCGTACGTACGGGCGTTCGGGGTCCCGTACGGGGTCCGAACCCGACGGCATTTGGCCCCCGCCAAAAATTATTTAGGGGCCTAAAAATACTTTTTTTTTTTTTGAATTTTGTTTTGTGAGTTCTCTATGACAAGAGGTACACACATATAAATTTTCAAGTCATTTGGCTTAGCCACGTAAGAATTAAAAATCACCAAAGATGGCGGTGTTAAAACGTGCTTGCCCACGTTTTTTTTTACTTTATACTTTTTGTTTTCACTTTAGTTCAGGGTCTAAACAATTTTATTATTTTTTGAAACTTTTTTACTGTGTTTTGCATTATGTGAAGTACACATATCTAAATTTTCAGGGAATTTATCTATTCCAAAAAGAAATGAAAAATCACCAAAGATGGCGGTGTCGAAAACGTGCTCGCGAACTCACTAAATCTAATTCTTTTTTTATTTTTTTTTATTTTTATTATTAGTATTTATTTTTTGTAATTTATTTTTATTTCAAATTTGGCAAGGAATTTG